TCCTAAATATGAACATGGATTATATGCAAAGAGGTAACATTTCCAAGATAGGATTTGGCCATTATGGGCTTCAACAGATAGGTTAGTGCGTCCTCTCTGCAAGTTTGCAACCCAGATAAGGCAGTGCCACTTGTTTCCCTTCATTTTGGCGTACAGGTAGCAGTATTATGTTAAGTGGGTATGTGGTAGACAGACAAGCAACAGGGTCATAGTGTGATGGAAGGAGCTCTGATTGGGAGGACAAAGCTGTATGTAGCACAAGAAAAAACCATATACAAATGATCAGATCAAGGGAATGCCGTATAAAGGAGTTCAGCATGCAAGCAACAAAAATGTCAAGGAACATATTGATCAAAAGCAATTAACCTAGTAGAAAGTAGGATGTATAGCTTGCACGGAGGATGATGCAGTCCATTTCAGTGTGTGTGGGAGGGAGTTCAGCAGGACATGTGTGATATATGAAAAGTTGTCTATTGTACATTTCCAGGATCTGCTGTGATACCATGGGCTTCAAACCTCCAACAAATGAGTGTAGTGGCTCCAGTCTACAACACAAATAAGTTAGACTTGTTAGGTTTCCTTCACAATGTAAATATAGCTATAGCATAATGCACAGTCGCAATACCATGATAAATTTATTTGAGATTTTGTTTTATATGTTTTTAGTGTGACTCCCTTGTTTTCACACATGGCTGCAGTCTAAGGTGAACCCAGAGATGTCAAACTTGTCATGCACCCACACTGTGCATCAACACGTTTCACCAATCATAGTAATATCCTCTAGTGGAATCAAATATAAGTACAGGTACAAAACAAGCAAAATAAGGAAAAGTATATGCAATAGACATAATATAGAAAGATATATCTCATAAATGAAATCATGTCTCAACTGAATAAACGGAAATACATCTGATGTTTGAAATAAAAATGAAGTATCTCACATGAGTCAACTAAAAATGAACTAAGGCACACCGCCTTTATAAAATGAAATACAAAACTCTAATATCTGAACAATAAATATAAATCTACGATGGAATCTCAACTACTAAAACTGAGTGACGACGATTATGCTAAAAGTTCGTCATCCTGCGGCTCTCCGAAGCTCTGAACTGCCTGAAAAGAATTGAAAACAAAAAAAAAAGAACTGTCAACAAGAGCATCAGGATGCTACAGCAAGATCACCTTCATCCGTCCCCAGGGAAAGGGCTGCTAGATGAAATTGAGACTCTATCTATTAAGCATAGTCTATCAAGATTATTTACCCTGTATCTAAGTGGAATTAACATTTAGAAACCTATAACACGAGACGTAGTACGTCGAGCGAAATAATCCAAACAAGAAAACTCTCATGTATATACCATATGTCTCAAATTGTAGATAATTAAATATTAATACCGAACTAGGAATAAACAACCTAAATGAAATCAACAATTAGGAACCCACAATACGAGACTGGTACGTTGAGCGAAATAATGCAAATAAGAAAACCCTCATGTATATACCATATGTCTCAAATTGCGAATCGCTAATCATTGATTCTAACTAATAAATAAAGAAAATAGTACAGGAAAGTAAAGACGTCATAATATTATATTTATAATATCTTTCACTATTACTTGGAAGATAAAATAAATATCAGCATATAACCCCACATACTTTCAAGAGCAAAATACCTCGGTCATATATAACTCAGCGATGAGTCATGTTCATAAATGACATCCACCAAGGACGCATGCTATCGAGTAATTGTCACAATGTAAATCCTTGCAAGTTATGATTCATCGCATTATCATACGGGACGAACTACCAAGTCAGTATCCTAACTGTGTACTCGGCTCATTAGTCTCATCGCATCTCTGTACGTAACACGAGTGCAGGACGGACTACCAAATAGGTATCCTAGAAATACGGCTCACAAGTCTCATCGTACGGACTGCTGAATAAAGCATCCTAAACCCGACGCAATGGCCTGTACTAATGGTATATCGACGCACTACTCCATGTAGTACTGAGCGGTGCTCATCAACGATATCCAACATGTATATAACCGTGTAATCATCCCCTATCTCAGGTGTAAACAGATCAATACTTATCAAATTTCCATCGGGATATCCATGTGTGCTACGACACTATACGTGTGTACTCATGACTGTACGTGTATCATCGTGTGGCTCGAACCCCTCGATCATAAATCAAAAGTGCATGAAACAACAAGAAGCAGCCTGACTAGTCGACTAATACCCTTATTAGTCGACTAATCACCTTACTAGTCGACTAGTAACAATAGTAGTTGACTGGACAGACTGAAATCAGTCTGTTTGATCTCCTGTGTATGTTTCGTATATTGTAACTCGTTCAAAACTCAAATTCTATCATCATGAGGCATAAAACAAATTAAAAACTAGACAATTATTTAACAGAGATTATCTGAACAATATTTAAGCTCTTAAATTAATTAAATTAGGGTTAACATCCTAATTAACCAAATTTCTCAAATAACACATAAATTATCAACATGATTAACTAAACATGGTAAAATCTAAACATTTAACAGAGGTAATTTCGTTTAAACATGTTTACGTTACTTAGGTATCACCAACCTAGGGTTTTAACATCTTTAATTAACATGAAAACTTAATTAATTGTTAAACTAGGGTTTAAACATGATTATAACATGATTAACATATTAAAAACGAAATTAAAAGCAACCCTAATGATCATGAATCTAATATAAACAGCAAGAAAAACTATAGAGCTAGCATCGGTTAATGATTTAATCATAAAAAATCTAAACTTTATCATATCGGGTTAAGTTTTAACACGAGATTCATCAATTAAACATATTAAATCCTAAATTAACTATAGGGAAGGGTTTGGGTGAAGATGATCTTGCCTCAACAATGTGCTGCAACTCCTCAAACACGTGTGCAAGATCTATCTTCGACAAAAAGCTCACGATCTAGCCCTCCGCACGCTTATGCGTCTCGAATCTCCTCGAGAAACACCAAATACAAGATTTAGGGTTTGAGGGGAGAGGGTGGTTGTGAACTCACGTGAAAAGTACAGGAATAGGGTTTAAAACATGTTTATATACATAGATATAAGTCTAGGCTCGAAACAAAACGAATCCGACCCGAAACTCATTAGGAATCTGGAAACAGCCCGACCAATCGACTAATACCCTTATTAGTCAACTAATCACCTTACTAGTCGACTACTAAGGGTAGTAGTCGACTAAACAGATTGAAATCAGACTGTTTGTGCATGTTTCGTGCATGATTCTCTTCTACACCCACATACATACATTGAATTGATCTCAAATCAATTCCTAGCATACCCAATCATCAATAAATAATATTTATCACCATATATTCAAATTTACGGAGTTTTATATTTAGTTTCACAATCATTATCGTCATGAAGTTGTTTTCAAAATGCCAATTAATTGATTGGTAGAAGAATGATTTTCTTGTCCAATGCATAGTGAAAATGACTAATCATTTGAAAGTAGTTTTCTTACAGATATGTAATGCAGTTCTTGCAGCACGAATCATGAATGCTACATTGGTGTTGCCTGAATTGGACACAAACTCCTTTTGGCACGATGAAAGGTATCCATTTAAATATGTACTTTTCTCACAATATTCGCCGAAGGCTTTATTATTAAGATTTTGTATATGAATCTCATTTTTGATAGGAATGAGTGTTTTTTCCTGTTGAAAACATTCATCTCGTTTCATTATTTCCTTTTGGAAAATAAATACAAGGATTGCATTAATCGATTTCAAAGGATTCAGTCATGTTAAGTAATTCTAGTGTTGTTCATTAGAACTATAATAAAATTTTGTTAATTATAGTGAACTTACATGCTAACAAAGATTTTTTAACACAGGAAAGATATTATAAGAGTCTTAGGACCTATGTTACCCGGGTACTTCTATAATGAAGCCGTACCCGTACTGGACACGTACATCACACTTTCCCGTACCCAAACTTCATGGACACTTCTTGAATATATGCATACATTTATTAAACATGTACTTAATTATACGATATATGTGTTAATTTAAAATACTTGTCAAAGACTTCCTGGACGTAAAGCTTACACTTCACATCTTTCTTTTGAAACTAATGAGATACGGGTTAGATTCGTTTCAGTCCATACCCAAGTTTAAAACTATATAGTTAATGAGTCGTTTAGATGTCTAGTAAAAAAATGAGTAGTTTACAATTCACGATAATCAATATGATAAAAGAAACTAGTCGTTTAGATGTCTAGTAAAAAAATGAGTAGTTTACAATTCACGATAATCAATATGATAAAAGAAACTAAAAAATGTGATCGGAATTTTAATTCATCAATATGATAAAAGAAACTAAAAAATGTGATCGGAATTTTAATTCTAATGACACATGAAGGGGAAAAATTATCTTATGTACAGTATTAATTCAATATATATGTGTAATCGTATCCCCGTACCCTACATTTTACAGTTTTGCCGTGTCCCGTACCCGCACTCGCACCCGTACTAGTACCCGTGCCCGTTTCCATGCAACTTAGCTTAGGACATGGTTCATCATAAAGTCATCATCAAGCCTTTCCCATCAGAATAAAGTTTCCTGTTGGACATGGATAAATAAAGAGAAAGTTCCAGGAGATGCCTGACCAGATGTTAGTATGATTTGCATTCTTATCAAGGAAAAGAAATGGTACTATTATCACAGTTTTCACATTTCTTTCATAAACAAACAAAATATTATTATCTGAAGATTGAAGAATGAAAAAGAAGCATTTTAGAGACCTCAGTTTAAGATTTTCCATTGATTATTATGCGACATGGATTCAAGGTGTCTGTATCACCCTTCTACGGGGTTAACTGAAAACTTTTTCATGCAGGTTTATCTCTAGTTACCTTTATAGCATCAGCCATGATTCCTTTATTCAATTCATTTTTGGTCTAGTATATATCTTCTAAGTAACAAAAATGGATGATGTAACTATCAGTTCTTATAGTTTTTTAAATAAGTTAATTCTTAATAATTGAAGTCCATCTGCAAGTGTAGATAAGTTTCACCATCTACTGCCAGATGCTTTTCCATGCTAATTTGGTCGTATGTGTCTGTAACCAGCGGTTTTCCAGGTATCTATGATGTTGAGCATTTCATCAGATCATTAAGGTACGATGTTAAAATTGTGGAAAGCCTCCCTGAAATTTCTGGGCACGGGAAGAAGAAAAAGATGAAAGCTCACCAGGTAAGATGCCACACTTGCACATGCATAAACACATTGTTTGTTTTTCTTTTTTTCTTTTTTTTTTGGTGTGATATTTATTCAGTTTTCAGTTATTTGCTAATTCCTTTGGTTTTCTCTGTATTTTTTTTAAATAATTATATGCCAGATGAATCCACCAAGAGATGCTCCTCTAAGCTGGTATACAACAACTGCTCTGGAAAAGATGAGGGAACATGGTGCTATATATCTCACTCCTTTTGCGCATCGCCTTGCAGAAGAGATTGATGAGCCTGAATTTCAGAGGTTGAGATGCCGAGTGAATTATCATGCACTAAGATTCAAGCCACACATTATGAAACTAAGCAGTGAAATAGTAAATAAGCTCCGTGCAGAAGGCCACTTCATGTCTATACATCTTAGGTTTGAAATGGATATGCTTGCATTTGCTGGGTAAGATACAGTGTCTTAACATTCTTATCTATTTTCTCTGGTTTAAAGAAAATGTATAGGAAAACCTATCTATTTTCCGCACTTAACATATGTTAAAGTTGTCTGTGAGGATCCTTCAAGATGCACAATATCTAGGAGCTCCTGCATCCCTGCTGAAAACTTTAAAATGGAATGACAGCATACTTTAACAGGGGATTCTACTTATGATGACTCAGTCTACTGCTCAATTATTATTGTATTGATGCATTCTACCCTCCTGGAGCTGTTCTTTCTATTAGTTAAACCTTAGCTCCGAAAACAGGTCACTCTAAGCTAAAAATTATTAAAGTAGGATGAACTTCAGTAC